CCACAAAGGCCACCTTGGCCTCTGCCTCTGGTGCCCTCCTGCACTCCAGGCAGGGGCTCCTGGGAGGTGAGGGGACTTGGGGCCTAGTCATTGTAGCTTTGTGTCGCAAGCTTACCTGGCTGGCCTGTGTCTTGTACCACCTCTCTCCACCTCTGCCCCGAGCTCCCTGTGTCCCCCTCCTTACTCCCTTCCGCCCTCCTCCCTCCATTTTTCTAAATACCTCTTCCTTCAGTCTGTCTGAGTCTCTGTCTGTCTCTGTCTCTCTGACTTTGGGACATACTCAGTAGTACATCTGAGCTGAGTTTTGAAAGATGAATAGGAGTTTTCCAGGGAGAAAAGGAGCCAGCATTCCAGGAGGCAGGGAGACCTGGTCCTGGAGGATCCCTATGAGCTGCACTTTACCCCCCTCAGAGCACAGTTATGCCCAAAGCTCGTGGTGCGGATGGGAAACAGGTGCCAGGCAGGGGCCTGGCCGGTCCAGTGCCACATGGTGGCAGAGTTGGGATGGGAAACCTGCCTCCTGGTTCTGGGCTCTTCCCCGCTTTCAGGATGGACATCCTCATTTCTGGGAAATGGCCTCAAGATGGCACTTATAAGAGGTGCCAACAACGTTTTTGGAACTGGCTCTGAGGATTTGGGGGGACACAGGAGAGTTGGAGCCCATCTTAAGGTTTACCCACTAGTAATGACCCTGTGACCATCCTTCCATCCACCCATCCATCCTCCCATCTATTCATTCATCCTTCCTACCTCCCTTCCTCTCATCCTTCCATCCACCCACTCTGCAAATACTGGCACCTTCTACTGCCAGGCCAGGCACTAAGTGACATGTTAGGCTTTATCTCTGACTCCTTTCTCACGGCCATTGTCTCCTGACTGCATCCAGGGCAGAGCTGAGGTTGAATGAGCGGCCTGAGGTAGCTGTCTGTGTTCAGATCCCATCCCAGCACTGGCCATGTGGCCTCAGGCAAGTCATGTAATCTCCCTGACTCTCTTTGTCAGTGACTTGGGGGTGAGAATAATAAGGTTTGAGAATTAACCAGCACTCAGGATGGTGACTGGCCCTAAAGAAGCTCTCGGTGCCTGTTAGCTCGTGTTACTGCTGCATTAGTCCACGATCTTCATCTGTTTCCTCCTCTCCACCCACACCCCAGCACACCCTCCTCATTTCTCATGAGGACCGCACCTGCCCCTTCCTGACCTCCCTCCCTCCTCTCCTCCATCCCATCCTCTCCAGCCCATCATCCTTGATCTCATCAGACCATGTCTCACTGCTGACAACCCTTCGATGGTGCACACTCACTGCCAGAAGGAAA